TCAATATCCTTACAAGCTATGAGACCATAAAGTGACCATAACTAGTTCCTTACATTAACTTTCTCAGTTTACAACACCGAGACTTGGAAGAAGGACAGAGAGAACACCAAAAAGCCAAAATTCTTAGAGCAGCTAGTGTGCCCAATTTAGACCCCAGGCCCTAAGGCAGAGTGGCCTTAGAAGTCCATATGACTTTGAGCCAAAGCTACTTGGTCCAGGTATAGGAAGCCAGACCATGTTCATTGTGACATGACATGGGGGCTGGAGGGAAGCCTACCTTCCATCAGTTTCCAGTATGAGACTCAGGGACACCTAGCCCACAAATGCCCTAAGTGAATCCTGGTAATGACCAACTCTGTTTACTGACAGAAACCTGGCTTCCAACTTCTCTCCAACAACACTGTTAACATCAATCTCAAGGAGTCCTGGGTATGTCCATTTGCTGCTAAACACTGGAGCTATTTATTCGATATTAACTCTTCTAGTGGTCTCTTAACCTCCTCCGACCTCCAAGTGGTTAGCATCTGTCAGCCTCCATCACAAAGATTTCTCACCCCTCCTTTGTCTTGAAATTGGGAAAGGTTTGTTATTTCCCCCCAAATGTCTAGCTGTTCCTGTGTCTCCCAGTCCCATTTTGGAGAGAAATTTTTAGTTAAAATTGAAAGCACAAGTGACCTTCATGGCTGAACCCAGTAGGTTGTTCCTGGGAATAGTAAGTTACTGCAAGATTTATCTCCCAATCTTTGAGGGCATCACAAAACCTTTATAAAGTTCTTAAAGAAGAGAGTTAGAAGAAGTAGAGTGAGACATAGCTGGGGAAAAGAAGAAGAAGAGGAGGAGGAGGAGGAAGGAGCTTTTAAGGCACTCAAATAAGTCTTAATTAAGTCCCCAGACTCAGAACTCCCTGACACAGAAAGAAAAAAAACAAACATTCTAATAGGTGTCAGAAAAGGACCAATGTGGCAGTACGAGTTCTGCTTCAATTTAAGGGGATCAGAACCATGACCAGTAGCATATCTGTCCAAAAACTCTGACCACTTCTCTTCCTCAAGCCAATAGCAAGGCATCGGCTTTCTGTTGCTCGGCCTTCTGTTAGTCACGTTTCTCTTTTCCAGATTGCAGCAGTTCCAAAGGAAAATGATAGTGATGAACAAGGACAGTCCCATCCCACTCCAGATGATAGACCAGACAGTTCACAGGTTTAGGGCAGATGAAGAGAGTGGTGTGTGTGTGTGTGTGTGTGTGCGCACTCTGCTCCATCTCGTGTGTGTGTGTGTGTGTGTGTGTGTGTGTGTGTGTGTGTGTGTGTAGGCCCTG